ATATATAAATAAAAAAAATTATATTATATATATATATATATATATATATATAGACGTTAATTGTAATATAATTATGTTTACAAGCATTAAAAGTTGTGTATACAAAGTATTTACTATAAATGAAATCTCAAACAGGAAAGACTGTAGCTGAACTTCTGTACCTTTGAGAGCAAGCTGTTCCGTTAGCTCCTCTGTGAGCAACAACAGACGCTCTCTTTCAATCTCCCAATCCTCCTCCAGAGCTCTCATTTCCTCCTCGTGCTGCTGACTCTTCTGAGCCAGGTCCTCCTTCATGTTCTCCACATCCTGCTGGGCCTTAGTCAACTCCTTTTGGTAGTTCTCCTGCAACTCAGCAATCTCTTGGGAATTCCTTTCTTGGTTTGCCTTCAGCTCCGCTTGAACAGTTTCCAGCTGAGCTTCTAAGGAGTGTCTGACGGCTTCTGCTCTCTTTTTTGCATCGTCATGATCTGCTTTGCGTTCTTTCTCCCTTTCGCTCTCCCTCTCTCTGTCACGCTCCTCTCGTTCTTTGAGTAATTTCTGAAAATAAGCCACTTCTTCCAGGTGTTTGCTTCTGGATTCCTCAATGCTGCACTCAAGGGTTTTGATCTTCTTTTGCTGGTCCTCCAGTGCTCTCTCATGCTGACTTTGCAGCACAGCTAGATCCTCCTGAACAAAAGAAGAGATCGGACAATATGGCATTTATTACAGTAAAACAACTTTACCTGTCAGTCTTCAGAAATTCTGTCTAGGATTCAGTTTACAGCAAATAAATAAATGTTATACTCATGCTGTATTTCACCTTGGCTTGCTGTTTAGTCTTTTCTAGATCTTTGCGTAAGCGAGTAAGACTTTGTTGAGTTTCTGCCTTCTCCAGAAGCAAGGCATCCATCCTTGCAGTCAGCTCCTGTTACACAGCAACCCAATATAAAACAGCAGCTATGAAACAGTATTTTATAAGAGATACACAATTGATGCTACTCTAAAAACAAACCTGCATCAAAGAGGTATCATCTGAATTTGCATTGCTGTTTTGTGGTTGCTGTTTGAGGGATTCAATTTCTTTTTCCAAGTCTGAAAAGACAAATATTGTCACAAACTTGTCCACTTTTAGTTCACATCTACAAACTTAGACCTAATAACAAAAAAGAAGTGTTGGGCAGAGACCTGCACATCTGCTCTTCGTCTTCTGCATAACAGCCATCTGCTTTTTGGCATATTTGATAAGGTCATCTTTGGACAGTGTGTCCAGCTAAAAAAAATAGCATGAAGAAAATAAGAGGTGAAGCACAATAAAGATCCCCCCAAAATTTAATTTTGATGTAAAAGCTGACTAACATCAAGTAATGTTTTAAAATAATGTCAATACTCTTTTGTAAAGGCCATTATAAACTTTACTGTGAGGTAATTGGGACACTTTACAGCTTCAGTGCTTCTCTTCTGGTGGTTCAAAACCAGTTTCACAATAAAGCAAACAAAAAAAATCCAGTGTGATCATTAAGTACACAACAGGTGACAATGACTCGAACAGCTAATGGATGTGGATGGATTAGTGACACTCAAGGAATTTGCTTGAAGTTTTCTACAACTGCTGAAATTATCAACTGGTTCAAAATGAAGAAACCCTTTAAATGTGAGCAGCAACATCTCATACATCAAGAAAGGAAGGACAGCTGGTATTTAATGAAGCACAAGAAAAGGATAATTGTTAAAGAATGTACCTTTGATTTTGAGGCACCTGCTTGTGATGGAGTCCCAGACTCAGCTGCAGTACCACCAGGATCCTTTTAAAAATTCAAATAAAAAAGCTTTTTGTAAGTCAAACTAAAATAAATTATAAGTGAACTCTTTCTGTTATGTCATTTTCTTTGCAGCTTTTTTTTACAAGTCTGTCTTTATTTGCTTTATAACAAACCCTTTTCAATTAGAAATGCATAAATACAAATTAGACAAGTATTTTAAATAGAAACTGTCCAGATGACCTGACTGAAAATTGTTGGATTGTATACCTGGATTATTGAGCATGGACTTAGTTGGTTTAAATAGAAGCATTTACATTACCAAGTAACCAAAATGTTCCTTAACAGTAGAAGTAGAAAATAAATTCAAGGTGAATGCTAACAATAAAGCATTTTTATGAATAAAACACAAGTACATGGTTAATCCATACGCTTAATTGCAGAATTGAGGTATCTTAGCTTGTTAAAGTCGGCTGTCAGCTTCATTTATATAAAAAAGAGGCTGTTAGAAGCGTTAGAAGTAAGATAGTTAGATTAGCTGAAGCTAGCACATCGACAGCCAACATTTACCTTACCTCCATCTCTGCCTGTCGGCTCTTCAGCTTCTTCTGTCACTCAGAGAGAGAAATTCAGCTGATCGAAAATACTTCGTTTAATATTCAGGGTTATATCAAATATTACGGAGTCCTAAAACGAGGACATTTCCTCTGTTTTGGTTGTGAGCTAACAAGCTAAAGCAGCAACCTACTTCCGCATTCGTCAACGGTAAATCAGGTCACGTGTCCACAACAACGTATCAGAAAAGGCAAAAAAACTTTTCCTTTCAGGAATTTATCTAACAGTTTCTAGTATAAAATGCCCTAACCTAATTAATTGGCAACATTTTTAACTAACTGCTTCGCTTTGTTGTGTCCCACCTATAAACTCAATGAAATAAAGACATTAACACAAAAATTGCACAAAGTAAGAAGCAGTCTTAACAGATGGAAACACGGTTTTAACTATAGGACATGGAATAACATGAATATGCTGCTATTAAACTGAAAAATGCCATTGAGCTGGTTATTACAGTACCCAGTCCTCAAACTTTTCTACTTAAACTCAGTATGACAACTCTCTTTTCTTGAATGTTCTATTAATTTCTTGATCTTTATCAAACATTATCTAAAGTTCATTTATTATGAGAATGCGAGTAAAGGTCAAATTGTGATTTTTGAACTTGAGGGAATGGTACTTTTTGTAGATAATGTCTCAAATTGCAAACGAGGTTGTAATAAATAAAAAAAAAAAAGAGTAGTGTTTGTACAGTCAAGTCATCTGGACAGTTTCTTTTTTGTAGAGACGTTTCGCCCTTTATCCGGAGGGCTTCATCAATCTGAGAAGTAAACTGTTTCCGCTCCAAGCAGTAAACTCCTTAATTGGACCAACCAGTTTGCTGGAGATAAGATGGTTTCTGGGGGCTGTCCTGTCCCCCATCAACTCCTCCCAGGCAGCCAGCCACAGCCAAAGCGGTTCAAGGCAATCAAGTTCATGCTCAGTCATCCAGGTAGCAAATCCAATAATGCTCAGTCAGGTCACCTGGACAGTTTATTTTTTGTAGAGAAGTTTCGCCCTCTATCCAGAGGGCTTCATCAGTCTGAGGAGTTCCAAGTAAACCGTTTCTCCATCAAGCAGTAAACTGCTTAAGTGGACCAACCAGTTTGCTGGAGATAGGATGGTTTCTGGGGGCTGTCCTGTCTCCCGTCGACTCCTCCCAAGCAGGCAGCCACAGCCAAAGTGGTTCAAGACTGAGGAAGCCCTCCAGGTAGAGGGCGAAACGTCTCTACAAAAAAAGAAACTGTCCAGATGAGCATTACTGGATTTGGTACCTGGATGATTGAGCATGAACTCTGTTGGAGTGTTTGTAGTTGCAGACTAGTCATCTATGATAGCAATTTTTTTCTTACAGATGTGAATTGTGGCAGTATATTGCACATGATTGTCTTTGTACATTCATAAAGATTACTAAAAAAAATTAAAGTGATAAAAGTATTTTACATTTAAAAAAACATCTTGGGGTCCAGATAACATGTCAACAAGGGCTACATTTGGCCCCCGGGCCTTGAGTTTGACACATATGATTTAGAACAACAAAAAGCGGGATTTTTGCCCTCCTGCTGACATCAGGACTGTCAAACTGAGTTTCTGTATTCTCCTCAGATCCAGTTTTATCTGTTGAATATGGAGGGCGCCTGTTTTGACACAAGTGACGGAGGCACCGACAGGGGCAACTAAACTTGATGCCTCTCATGCTGACAAGGCTGGCATGCTCTGAGCAGAGGGGCAAAGGCTCCGTCGACTCCCTGTCTCATCTGGAAGGGACCAGTCTCAGCCTTCCAGTCCGCCTGGGTCAAACACACCCATCCATCAACGGGCCCCTTCCTTGCTTCCTCTCAGGGCACCCAGCAGTATTTTGCTGCCATTTTTCTCCCCCCACTCGTGGCCGTCAGTCAGGGACAGCTTTACAGTAATATAACTGACACTGGCTGGCGTTCAGGGAGTAATGAATGGCCTGGCTGGGTCTATCAGGAAGAGGAGCGGACGCACTTTCATGCTCTTGCGTTTCCCCATTTCAATCTGTCTCACTTCTTTCTGCTGGTTTTGTTACAACAACAACCACATTTCAAACTAACAGGGAGACTGAGATGCATCCATCTCATTTGTGGTGCTCTCTCTCACAAGAGCTCTCTGTTTAAACACCATTAAATATGCACTAATTGTAGACCTTACACAATATTTGACTTTCAAAACCTCAAGGCTGCAGTAGTTAATTGTCATTACCTGCTTAAACACATGCAGTTAAAATATTATTAATCTATTTTTCTATTGTTTATTTTATGTCCATGAGATTCTGATTCAAACATTTTATCTTCAAAGATGCAGCAGCTTATTTTAGGTCACTGTTGCACCGCTGATTGTTACAGATGGCCTTTTTCACGAGTATAGGTAAAACTAAGGCAATATTGATGTCTACCACCACGGTGAGCTTGCTCGACATTTATCTAAAACCCAATGACATATTGGAAACTCATCACTGACTATATGTAATGGTTTTCATTTTATATTTATTTTTGGTGTAAATTGTGGAGATTTTACATTTACGTCTTTGGACCATAATGTTCAGAATAAAGGACTGAGTCAAAGTAAAGAGCACAGTGCCAAATGTTTTCAGAAATTTTCTAATTGGGAACCCCTTTTTTAAGCTTCTTTGCTTATCTTTTTCATTCTATTCTTCTTCTATCTTTTCTTTTCTCTCTTTCTTTTTCCCTCTGTGCTTAGACCAATCAGTGAAAGTTGACTTCTTGTGGAGGCGAAGTGGAGTTGTTTTCTCAGGGACACGTACGGTGTGATTGAAGTCTCCCAGTGGGGATCCTGTAGGAAACAAAAAATTGACTTGTCAATTATCCCCCTAAATAAACAATTGGTCTTTGGAAATACTTTAATATTGAACCCCAGGGAAAACATCTTAATCCACAACAAGTGCTCACTGATAATGGTGCACTTATAATAAATAACAGGTAAATATATTGACCTCAAATAACCACATCCAACAAACACATTATCCTGCATCTGACATCTTTCTATTAAATAAAGGTTGAATAAATATTAATTAGAATTAACTCGTTGTTTTTATGCCTACTTCTTAACATTTTCAACAGTTTGAACGAGTCATCTAGATAATACTGTCCCATTTTATACAGAATTTACGATGCTTGACTTCTTATTTCACTCATTGTGTCCTGCGTTTGTTTCCTTCCTGACATTTTACCTGTGCAGATTGGCAGTGCCATTAATAGGGCTGACATTTTAACATATAGCTTTGACATTTTAATGTATTAATGTGGGAACAGAACCTCTCAGATTGTTCTTTTTCACCAAAGACGCCGTCAGCGCGGGGTCTCTAATAAATGACTGTAGCTCAGACTCCTGAAAGATGGTAGAAGTGCCATTATGTTAGAAGCTGCTGTTAATAATGTGTTTTCATAACAGGTTAATAGTTAAATCTGGGTGCCAAATTCTCAAGAGCAGGTACTCTGTCAGTGGGTGGGTGCTGTAAAGCAAGCACTAATTGTCTGTTTTTATGAGAACTAAAAAAATTAGGTTGATTGTGATAATCAGTGAGAAATAAAATAAAAAAAATGCAGCTTTAACACCTTGTACAGCATTAAATATTTAAAATGTAAGGTATTTAAAGTGTTTTTTTAATTAAATTAATTGTTTTAGATAGGTTTAAAGTATTTTAAGTAAACTATTTTATTGCAGTAAATGACTTTTTAGAGAAATTATCACAGCAGTTCAGCCAACATAGTTTTGGGGTTTCATCAGAGTGGATAAAAGTGATGGACTGTGTTAAATGACAAAGCAAATCAATCCATCCGTCCGTCCATCCGTCCATTACCTTTACCCACTTCTCCCTTTTTGGATCACAAGGGTCACAGGTGCCTATATCCAGCCATCACTGTACGAGAGGCTGGGGACACCCTGGACAGGTCTCTAGTCCATCACAGGGACATGTGGAGATAAATGAGACAAACAACCATTTACTCTTTCACTCACACCTAGAGACCGTTTAAAGTTAATTACCAACATGTATGTTTTTGGTTTGTGGGAGGAAACCAGAGTACTTGGAGAAAACCCACACATGCACGGACAGAACATGCAAACTGCACCCAGAAAGGCCCCTGGCCGAGATTCGATCCGGTGACTTTCTCGCTGAGGCGGCACCTCTACCAACTGTGCCACCCCAAATACCATACTAAATAAACCAAAATACAATCATTCAGTGAAACAACTAACCAACCAACTAATCCACCAATTCACTAATCAACCAGCCAAGCAGCTTACCCATTAATCAGGGTTTGTCATAAATAAAATGAAATTTTATTTGTATTCTTGCTTTTTTCAGGCTTCGTAAAGATAATGTCATAAAGAGATAAATGATTTCTATAGGAGACTTTGACAAATGTGCTTTTTACATTGATTTTCTGCCATCTGCGAGAGTGTTTGCTCGCACACTAGTGATCTTAGGGATGCTACTGTATTATTTATGATGTCAGAGTTGCACACTGTCAGCTAGGCCTCTGATGTGATGAACACACACAGCATTGTTGACCTTTGATAAGGCCCACTCTCAGGTTAATCCTCACATTTTGAAACTGAAGATCCTGCACTACCATAAAATGTCAATAATTATATCTGGTGATTTTGTAAACATTGAATTTTTTTTATTTTATTAAACTTTTTCTTTTTTTTACTTTTTATTCATCTGTCAATATTTTGTCAGCAAACTCAATTTTGTGCACATTGTCTGCTGAGCTGTGTGAGTTGAGGGACACAACAGTTGAAAAGGGAAGTGTAGCAGTTTTCTCTTCCGTGCTCATGGGCATTCTGTGTTGCTGTATAAATAGTTTGGTGGCTCAGCAGGAGAAGAACACTTCATCAAGGAGGATGGGCAAAACCTGCATCCTTTGCACAAACACCAGCACCAGGCCTTGATTGCAGTCCTTTCCCTCTCTTCCTCCTCCCACTGCCACTCTTTACTTCAACATGCTTACAAGATAATTTTAACATCCTGTACAAAAGCTGTAAATCCACTGATTTATTTCCTTCACTAACTTCCAATGCCACAAGTTAGCACAAACATTAGCTAGAGGGGTTCATGCTGAAGCATAGTTTTTAATACACATATTGATGGCTCTAACGGACACACATTCAGTAAAGATTGCAAGGAG